TCTCCAACACAAAAATCCATCCTTTAAAAAAAAACCCACAAATATGCTACTGGTGGTCTTATATTTTTGCAAATCTGAAAGCGGTCAATCAACAGGTATTTAATATGTCCTAGGCAAAGTGGTTTTACCTCTCTCAAGTCTGTCCCCCATTCCATTAAGCTACTAAACTGGTTTTCCTAAAGCTACAGGTCCTACCATGATTCCCTACTCAATAAACTCTAGTGGCTCTCTATCACCTCTAGGATCAAATACAAAGTCCTCTGCTTGGCATTCAAAGCCCTTCATAATGTAGGACCTTTCCATCTTTCCAGTCATCTTACAACTTACTGCCCCACCATGTACTCTACAATCTATTAACAAATTATATCCTTGCTTTTCCACAGACAAAATACTCCATGTTCTTAGCTCTAGGCATTTTCTTTGACTCTCCCCCATCCCTGGAATGCTCTTCCTCCTCATCTCTGCCTACTAGCTTCCCTGGCTTCCTTTAAGTGTCAACTAAAAACCTGTCTCTTACTGGAAGTCTTTCTAATCCCTTCCTTCTGTTAATTATTTCCTAATTGTTTTGTTTGTATATATTTGTGTGTTTGTTGTCTCTCCCATTAGATTGTGTGTTCATTGAGTATAGGGATTGTCTTTTGCCTCTTTTTGTAATCTCAACATTTAATACGGTGCCAGGCACATAGTAGGTGCTTAGTAAATGTTAAATGAATGATTTGAGTAGTGTAAAGGAAATGAGGACACATGATTAGAACAGATTGTGAAACTATAGATACACAGCCTGATTGCTACATTGCTTTCCCCAGAGTGAAATACAGTACCTTGGCTAGATCCTCTGGGGATGATCTGGGGGGAAACAAGGGCAAGAATAAGGCAGGAGATATGAAAGCTGTGGATGGATTGCTATATCCATTGATGGAATGAGCACTCACATCAGTTAAGTCACAGATTTAGTTAAGTAAAGAAACATGAATACAAATCTTCTTTCTTTGTGGACCTTGAAATAATTGTTCAACATGATATTGATCTGGCACACTATTGTGGCAACATGGAGAAATACAGAGGATCTGTAGTTATTTAAAGGCATCGTAACTCTTAGTGATTTAGTTATTTCTGTATAAAGGATAACTAAAAATTGCATGGTTGAGCAGAAAATAGATGTTTAGATAAAATTGCTACAGTGTGGAGAAAAGAAAGATTTCATTCCTAAAATTACTTGTTTATGCTATTGCCTATCAAAAAAAAGTTTTTGATTTAGTAAATTCTCCAAACAACTGATGGCCATGTTTGTAATTTTGTACATCCTACAAAATGTTTTGGTTGTTATATTAGATTTGTGAGGATAATAAAATTTTGACTCATAGGAGCATCGAGGGATATTCAAAGGCTATGTTCATGGAGTGCTATGGCATGTCCTGCCCAACTAAAAGGCTCTGAAAACAGTTCTCCCAACCAGCCAATTATATGTTGGACCAGCATAACTAATACAGACAGGCTCATCGCTAAACGAGTGATCATTTGATGATTATTTACTTTAGCCCCAGCAATTCACAATTACAGGTTATATTTTTATTGCACTTTAAAGCTTACAAAGTATTCTTCCTACAGCAGTCCTGTGAATTAAGTAATATAAGGAGCTTTAAAAATCCTCATTTTACAGATGAGGAAGCTGAGGCTCAGAAAAGTCAAGTGACTGGCCCATGGTCATACAATTAGTAACACGACCAGAACCCAAATCTCCTGACTCCAAACCTATATATATTCTTTCCTATATTTATGGAAAGTTGTTATGATTTCCTACTGAATAGTCAGGTTATGATTTGTATTATAACCTATACTAATAAAATAACAGATCATATGATTTGAAGTATTCTGGTAATAAGACAGTTTAAATAAGTATAGAGGTTTGTACAATTGTTTCAAAGAATTAGCACAATTGTGTCAAATTACTCGCTTTGTTTCACTGGGACAAATCACTGCATTTTCTTGAAACATTTAGATGTTTACTAACATTCTGTAGAATAAGAGAAAGATCACTGAGTTTGCAATCAGAAGTCCTGAGTCTAAGACTTACTGTTGTGACTTTGGGTAAGTTATTTAACCTTTTAGGGCTTATTCCATCATCTGTGATAAAGTGATTTAAAAAGCATCTTGTAATTATGAATTGTTACACTAATAATATACTATACTAAATATACATCGTTTCTAAAACTAACATTCAGGGGAAAAAACTCAATATTAAACTAAGGCTATATATCTCATTATGATACCAAGAATTCTATGTCTTTTCCCTTTAGGATTTTGTATGCTACCCAGTCAGTTAAAACTCAAGTTTATAAATTCTTATTAAGTAACTTTATTCTTTTGCTAATTTAGATGCTGAGTGAGAAGTTTTACATTATCCTTATTAAGGTTTTGTTTGATATTTTTCTTATTTTTTATTAATAAGATTTTATTAATTTTAATTAATTAGTTTGATTAGTTCTTGAGAGGCACAATGTCATAGTGAATTGTGGGCCAACCCTTGGAATGAGGGAAATCTGAGTTCATGATCTGCCTCTAACTCGTAATATCTAGCCAACAATGGCAAGTCACTCTCTTCTCAGACAGCTCTCTAAAATTGTAATTATACTTGCTGACCTAAACCAGTGGAGGGAATTTCCACTCTAGTAATCTACCAAAGTAAAGAAATCACAAGTTTGGAACAACAATAAACAACAACAACAACAAAAAAAAACAATTCTTAGGGCAGTATAGTGGAATGATCCCAACTCTCCTGTCTCCAAATTTAGCACTCTTTATCTATATGTCAGATGGGAGACATCTATGTTATATTCCACTAACTAGGTGTATGACTTTAGACAAATCATTTTAATTGGCTTAGTTTTTTCATCTATAAAATGCACAGGGTAGATCATAATAAGATCAGAGCTGGCAGGTACCTTAGACATTATCTTATCCAACTCCTACACCCTTTTCATTTTCTAAACAAGGAAACTGAGGTAGAAAGAGGTGAGGTGAAGCCAAAGATCTCAGAGGTGGGTAAGCGATAGATGTGAAATTAAAACCCAGGTCCTCTAACACCAAATTCAACTCTCTTCCCATTTTACTATCATGCTTCTTCTTTGCTGGAGTATTCTAGAATGTTATTCTGGGTTATTCATAATCTCTCAGGTTGCATCCAGATCTGAATCTGGATTTCAAGGGCCTTTTTCTCTAAAAATATTTTATGACTTTCATAGACTTCATCAGTCCCCATAACTTTTCCCTTTTTCATTTGCCAGGTGGGACCAAGGAAGAAAGGCAAAGTAACTAGCACACTCCCTCTTGAATCTTGCTTTAAAAAGAAGTAAAAAAATTTTTTTTTTCTTCTAAGAGTTGGAGTTTCCTTTTCCAGGGCTGTATTTAGTTCTTTCATTTATCTAATAGGCCCTTGTTCACTTTAAAGAGCTGGTTACTTGCTTCTAGTTTCGATTCCAGCGTCTGCCACTGGCATATAAACCAAGTGATTTTAGGAAAGGCCATCTTTCCCTTCATTTGTAAAGTCAGGAGAAAACAGATTCTCCAACCTGAAATCAGATAGAGAGACTTTAATTTTATCAGAAGAAAAGGGGGTCTTTTATTTTTCTTTTCTAATCTGAGGGGGGAAAAATTCTCATTTCTAGATAGGAAATCAATTGCATACATTCACAGCATCTGCATGTGTAATAAGATCATTAGTAGTTATGTATTGTTCCAGCTTTTTGGATTTTTAAAAGTAGAGACAAACCAAATTTAAATTTTGTAGTTTTAGTGCAGATTTTTATAGAATATATTCAGAAATTCAATGTTGAGAGCCTACTTTGTGCTAGGCTACTTTGTACTGGGGACATGAAAATGAATTACAGATTTGGGCAGTTCTCCAAGCATCATTATTTGATGATGTGCCCTCACATTATATACAGGAATGCTAAATGTATTCCACTAAAATAGTTTAAAATGTTAATTAAAATCATGTATTTAGGAGAACAAATGCAAATTCATTTCAGCTTCTTTTTCTACATAGAGTTTCATGATAATAAAAGCTTTCACACACTCTTCATATAATGTGTTCTTAACCCAGGTGATGTAACTTAAAGAAAAATTTCTCTTACGTGTTATGCTCTTAATCAGATTCTAAGTGGTCTTTGTTGCAGATGATAAAACACCTTTAAACAAAGTCTACTAGAGAGTCTCATTTCATAATTCTTTTGCTAAACTCTAACCTGATGGATCTCTGTCCTGCACATAAATTTAGAAATTTCTTTTTCTAATTACTTAGTTGTTGAATATATTTAAATATTACATCCATTGTTTGTTTTTTTCTGGGTAATCTCAATGAGCTTGGCATCCACCCATATGCTTTTTTATGTAAACATGCCTATCAGTATAAATAAAGTGAATAGGTGGCAGATAATAACAGGGGGGAAAAGCCTATGCTTATAAGTTAAGGTTAGTAGGTGCTAAGAAAAGTTAACTAAAGGTTTTTTTAATGAAAAGTTTAAATTTCCATTACAATTAGTAGACATGCTTAATAATGTAAGCAGACTGTTGAATGAATAAAGGATGGTAGAGAAAAGTTAGATATGAACTGAATATTGGAATAATTCTAATCCTGGAGCTAAAGCCTCAGGCTTCTGAATTTGAAAGAGACTCTTCCAAATAAAAAGTAAGCAACAGATTTAGGGAATTGTATATATTGGAAAGTAAAATCACTGGCACTATTAGATCTTCTTAACAGAAACACAATCAATAGATGTATTTGTAAGATAGATTGCTATTAGAAAGAATGATTTGGGGCTTTTAAAAACATTGTATTTTGATTCACTTAAGTAGTTTTTTTCACCTTCAGAGCAATAGACTTGTAAATTATTTTTATATTATCTCATATAAAAAAACATTGGTAGCTATTATGCCAGAATAAAGCAAATAGCAAAGCTATGTATTTTTCTTTGTTTAAACTCATGTATTTTTTCCCTTAGAATGCTGAAATTTCAGTTTTTGAAGTGAATATACGTTTTGTTGGTGGACTTCTCTCAGCTTACTATCTCAGTGGAGAAGAGGTAAGATAAAGAATTGTGTGTGTGTGTGTGTGTGTGTGTGTGTGTGTGTGTGTGTGTGTAAATATAGGAGGGGTAGAGGAGGGAGAGAGGAAAAGGAAAAACAAAGAGAGAGGACAAAGCAATTCAAGTTACAGTAAAATGGAATGTATTACATTTATTGTGATTTCATTTTTCTGCACTTTGCATCTTTTTTGGTAACCCATTCCATTTCCTCTATATGAAGTGCAGAATTGCTCCAATTTGCATGGAATTCCTTATCATGTGCTCTCATTTCTTTTTTTTTTTTCAGTGAGGCAATTGGGGCTAAGTGACTTGCCCAGGGTCACATAGCTAGTGTTATGTGTCTGATGCCAGATTTGAACTCAGGTCTTCCTGATTCTAGGGCTGGTGCTCTATCCACTGCACCACCTAGCTGCCTTCAATGTGTTCTTATTTCCGAGAAATGTTTGGTAAAAATAACCAGGGAAGGGAGGTTGGTGCTTAGGAAGAAAGAGGTAACAGTACAAATTGTTAGTGAGTATTTGGGGGAATACTAGGAAAAGGAACAAACATTTATATAGTATCTTCTATGTTCTGGGCACTATGCTAAGTGCCTTTTACAGATGTAATCTCATTTAGCTCTCACAGCATTATTTGCATTTTACAGTTGAGAAAACCCAAGGCAGACAGAGGTTAAGTGACTTACCCAGGATCACACAACTAGTGTCTGAGGCCAGATTTATACTTAGGTCTTCCTGACTCCAGGCTGAGTGTCCTATCCCCTGCATCACCAGGTGTATCTGTTGGCACCTTCTTTATTGATACGTGGTCCTCACTAAGCATTCTTTAGTGGGCAGTTCTTAATGCCCAAAGGAACTTGTGTCATTATGGAGAAAGTGCTCTAAGCCTTAGAGCTGCCTTCTGACCTGAAGCTCCAGTTCAGATAACCAAATGAATTGATTGGGAGGAATGTAAAGAATGGAACCTATGGTGGGAGTACAATTCTTCTATTTATTAAACTGCAAGCTGAAATAACATCTCCCTTTGAAAGGTTCTGTTGATTATTGTTCTTACTATAAAACTAATAAACCATTTTCCCTGAGTTTACATTTTCCTTCTATTAAAAGTCCCCAGAAAAGAGGATTTTCTTTTAACCATGTTTGTTTAGAGTATGCCTGTTTCAATCAATATATTGGCTTGTTTGTTTTTTTTTTGTTTGAGTTACCTATATAATGATGACCAAATAATGCAAACCATGTAATCCTAGCTTTATAGAAACCAAGAGCTTACAGTAAAGAGCTCTTCACTGTATGTAAAAATTTAGGATTGTCTGTAAGTTTTCCAGATCACTTAGAAAGATGCTAAATCAAATAGTTCCCAGTACTGATCCATTAATAACTCTGTCCTTTATATTGCCATATCCAACAGTGGCTCCATTTTTACCACAGCCTTTGTTGTAGAACCCTTTCAGAGAGATCTTAAGATCTTAAGATCTAGGTAGATACCTACTTACCTACTGATTACCTCAAAGAGCTTCAATGAATTCATTAGGCATAATTTTTCCTTTTACTTTTTTCCTACTAAGTTGTGTTTGGTGATCCTATCCCTTTTATTTGGTTAAAAAATGAAGTTTGGTTTAAAAAAAGAGGGAGATTCATAGGTCCTTCAGAACTCATAGCAGGTATCCTTTGGGTTCCACTCTTCTTATATAAGATTTTTTTTGTCAAGATTGTTCAAATGACTTATTTATAAAAATTAGGAGTTGTTCCATGTCACATGACAAATAAGATGGAAAATGAAACATTTTCTCCAGTATATTCAGAGAAAGAGAAATTATTCATCAAAGCTAGAACAATTACAACTGTCTCTACAGTTCAAAAAAAAAAGCAAGAAGCATAATAAACATAAACCAGCCTGTCCATTTTAGGGGAGAGTTTGGGTAAAAAAGCATACCTAACAATAATCTCCCTCCTCCATTTAAAACAGTTTTTGACCCCTGTGACTTGGTTTTGTTTGCTTTCCTTTCTTTTTGCTTAAGCTGAAATTGTATTCCTAACAAGTTATTTTTTGAAAAAAAATTCATACCTATAAAAACAGTACATTTTTAATAAAAATTTGCTGCTTAAAGAGCTCTTTCTATTTTCTCTGGCTTGGGCATTACTTTTGAAGAAAGTATTTGAGTTGCTTCACAGTGAGTCTGGCTTTCCTTTCTACAGCAGCCACAGGACTTCTAGCAGGTAGTCTTCAGTGACTGTCTAGCATTCCCCTCTACAGTATGGAGGGATGCTATTAGGAGGAAATAATAGTGAGGAGTTGTCTTTGTCCATAGCTTTCAGGCTTTTTATTTTGGTATAAGAGGGGGGAAAGGTTCTCATTATCCATGTATAAATATAAGAATTACATTTGTATGCCCATATCAATAAAATGGCATTTAATAGTTATAAAGTGCTATATGCAGATTTTGGATATCAATGGCATAAACACAATGTTTATGAAGAAAGAAAACATGATTAGATAGAATTTCATGTGGAAAACATTTGAAGATTTTAGTTGAGTTGGATTAATCAATTACTTAATTAATTAAAGTACTTTGTATACAACATAGAAATGATTGTCCTACTTGTAGTTTGAACTGATCAGGCCACATGTAGAGTTTTATGTTTAATCCTGTATGACACATACCTAGAGGGCAAGCAGAATGGTGATGAGACTCAAAACCATGTCATGAGGAATGTTTTTTTAAAAATTAGAAATATTTGTTTCATTAACCCAGAAAAATGAAGCCTGAACAGTGGGAAAGGGGCACATGATAGTCCTAAATATGTAAAGATCTGTTGTATGGAAAAGATTGTTATTCTGCATAGTCCTAGAGGACAAAACTAGGACTAGAGAGGCAGATTTGATATAAGGAAAATCTTTACAACAATGAGACATGTCAAAAAATTGGATCTGTGCTGATAATAAATTATTATGAATATTAATGTCAGTAATATTCATTATAATAGCATTTATATTGTACTTTATGTATGTCATTTGATCCCTATGGGGTAGTTGATATTATTATCTCCATTTTACAGATAAGGAAACTGAGAGACTGAGAGAAGTTAAATAATTGGCCCAGGGTCACACAACTAGTAAGCATTTGAGGCAGGATTTGAACTCAGGTTGCCTGACTCCAATTCCAGCACTGTCAGCTAGACCACCCAGCTGCCTCTATATCTGATGGTGATTTCTAGTGTTTAAACAAGAGCTGGATAACTGCTTGTCAGATGTTTTAGAAAAGAATTGATCTAAGAGGACTTTATTAGAATGTGTATGTATTTGTAGCACCTTTTCCCATATAGAATCTAATTATATATTTACATATGTGGATAATTAGTAACTGTTAACTAAAAAGAAAACAATTGGCTATCCAGTCAATTATTATAATTTGATTGGCTAAGAACTCTCAGATATCTTAAAGTAAGCATTGTAAACTAGGAATGGTTTCTGTATGAAATTACAGATTCTACATCTGTGGAGAAATAAAGTTCTGAATGTAATTTTTGGAGATGGACAGTAAAAATGTAAACCTTTGTTGTTTCTCTTGTCTTTCTCCTAGTTTGAGAAAGAAATGTCTGCCTATTTGCTTAGCATTTTCTCTTTTAAGAGAAATATATACTAATATATATTGTATGTATCCTAATATAACTGATGAACTTTATATGATCAGCAAAGTTTATTAGCATTATGGAACTAATTCATGTGTCATTTGGTCATGTTAAAGTTTTTTCTTATGGAATCCTATTTTGCTTTATTGACAAAGGGTCAAAATTAATATCATTAAAATATTAAATAAGGCAGCTGGCCGCAGGCATTTTTCATAGTTCCATTAATAAGAACAGGAAGTAAATCAGTTATCTGAAGGAGGGAAGACAAGGGAGGTTAGCATGATTCTAGGCCAACATGATTCCCTCCCAGCTACGTCTCCTTTTCCCTGTCCCCAACTTTCACCTGTTTTATTTTTTCCGTTTTAGTTGAGTCATTTGTACTTAAAAATACAATTAAGCAACAAGGAAATAGGTTTCAAGTTAGCCTTCTGAACCTCCAATGATTTTTTTTTAATCTCCATTACAAAAATCCCCATAGACTGGTCTTCCATTAATTTTTTTTGTGGCAATTACTAGATTTTGTCATTTGTTAGCTTTGTCAAATTCTGTCAATCTGTCACATTGTCATGTTTGTGCTATGTGTTAAAAGATTATGAAAATATTAAATCAAAACTAAAAATGAGAGATTGTTTTGTAAATCCTTAAAATAGAATTTGCCTACTTGAAATTGCATGTTTCAGTGTTCCAGTGCTTGTAAAATTCCCTGCATGAAAAAAGGTAAAAGCTAAATTTGAAAATGGATGATATCATTTAATTTGTTTTTCCCATAGTCATTTTGGGGAAACAATCTTACTGAAGCTTTTTAGGCATATTAAATGACAAATGTATGTTAATTGATCATTTGGAAGAGTATAATTTAGATCACATCCTGTTAATGGTGTTAAATATTTCCTTATTGTATTGTATATTAACGCCTGTCACTACAGTTTCTTGGAGCTTAGATTAATCCTAATACATGCTTTAAACAAATAACCTATTTAACAAGGTTAGCAAGAAGTCTTTTCTATTTATTATTGTCATTTTTCTATACAGAGAACATGATGTGCTCAGTATTTAGTATTTAATTTAAAAAAGTTTAGTTTGGTAAAAGATGATAATTGGAAACAGTAATGCTGGTGGTATTTGGAATTAAATTTCCATGGTTAATGACCTAAAACTGCAACATATTGATGTTCCATAATTATTTGTAAGTGTAGCTAATCATAATTGAAAGGGGATATAGGAACACATGGAGTTGATTTTAAAACACCTTGCATTTCACTGATATAAAAATCACTATCATTTCTCATCATTTAAAATGATAAAAAACATCATAGTTATTCCTTAACCAGGGGTTTATGATCTATTTGTATCTCTATGTAGACATGGATT